TTTATTTTATTTTATTTTATTTTATTTTATTTTTGGTGAGGATACATACACCCTCAGATAATAAATAGATACTTTTTGCTATTAAAATTATTCTGATTAGATTGATTAATTTGATCAAGATTTCATAGCATTCCATAAAGACTGCCATTATTTTTCATCTCCCTCTAACCTCGAATGAGTTTAAGAACCTCTGTGTTCATGTGATTTTTAAGAATAAGTTTAAAAATATGATTTGATATATTTATTTCTTGGGTTAGCTGACTGTGTTTAACAGCAGACTGTGTTTATCAACTCCATACTTTCAAATTTTCCACAGATCTTAACACCTAAAAACCCTCCACCAAATTTTACTGCCTGGGTCTCTGCTGCACAGATAGAGCTGTTGGGTGCCATGTGTCAGCAGCCTGTGGCTCCACTTCCTGTAGGAAGCTGTTCTCTCTGAGCTCCTTGGGAAGCTCTGGCTGGACCCCACAGCATGACTTGCTTCACCCTTGCTAATAGCAGCTGCTTTTTTTGCATACCTGAATCCTGCAGGCTCTGAAGGCATGGAGCCCTTCCAGGTCTTGGGTGGTGAGCTCTGTTCAGCTCACCAGTCCTGGTTATAGTAGTCTCCCCTTCCTAGTGACTTTGGTTTAGGAATAGGAGTGTGACCCAATTCTGGTCAAATAACCCAGAAGGTCATGTGTTGGTCACATATGGGAAAGTATCCCTTACTTTTAATAAGGGGCCTGAGGACAGGCTGTGCTCCTCCCTTTGGATTCCCCTGTGTTTGGAGGGGCAGCTATCCCAGGATAAAGGGGTGAGGGGGCAGAGACAAAGGGCATGACCAGCGCATGGAGTCTGCCCAGTGAGATGGGGAGCAACACCAGACATTAGATGTGGTTGTGGAGCTGCTTAACTTACCTGTTCCTTATTGTTAAGCTGGTTGATTAAAGGTTCATTACAGCTGAATGCATTTCTTAGTGGGTGGTGCCTGAACTGAGTTCTGCCAAAGCCTTTTCCTCAGAAAGCTCTTTCCTGTGCGCTGTGCCCAAGGAGGGTGGGGTGAGGGAGACTGAGAATTAAAGAGGCTGATGATTAGGGATTTTTTTACACCTGAGGGTGCCCGTGCTTCACTTGCACTGCCCCTTAATTGGATGGAAGAGGGCAGTGTGGGTCTAGTGGTGGAAGGAGAGTAGGGCTCACTGCAAAAACAATGAGGAATCCCAGAAAGGGCCCCTTTTGAAGAACCGACAAAAACTCTAGCAGCGTTCACAACTCCTCTAAAACTCTAGCAGAGTTCACAACTCCTCTTACTACCATTCAATCATTTGTGGAGCTCTCTGGGGAAAGGAGACATCTGGCTGTGCAGACAAATTACTCAGACCTCTCAGAATTCAGAGAAGAGATTGCCAGGAACCAGGGGCCAGAGACCCTAAAATAGAAGCTGACTGAGTAGGTGGTGAAGCTCCCAGACATGCAAGTCTGGCCTTGCAGTCACTAATGTGTCCAGGGGAAGAAGGGAGGGGCATTTCTTAGAGAAATATGTGGATGCCCAGCAAGCTTGTAAAAAGCTGAGATGGGGGAAGGATGGAAGGAAAAAGAGAGAACTGTGGATGGCTGCATGAAGACTGTAGAAAAGCACTCTGAGTGACAAAAGAGGAGTCTCAGATTACAGCAGTACAGGAAACAGGGTGCCAGGGGACATTCCGCTCTAGACAGTGCAAGTGATGTGGATGGATATTACACAGAAAAAGTACAATTTCCATTTCTATTGCATCCTAAGGAGTCCAAACTTACAATAGTGAGTAGAAGTTATTGGGGGAAACTGTTAGCTCAAAAAAGGGGAAGCGGTTCTAACAATCATTTCCCTATTGATAGGATGGGCTAT